AGGTCCGAGACATCCTGCAGCAACGTCTAGGAGCAAGTTGCCCTCTCATCTCAAGGACTTGAGCCTCCACGACTCCGTGAATGAAACCCAGACCCGGCTCGGCCAGAAGGAGAACGTCAGACCTCCCCGCTCCAAGAAAGCGGGTCGGAACCGAGACAAGCGTGGTACTGCTCCGAGTGCCGCCGATGCTCCTAGACAGGGAGAGACCCATGCCGCCCCACGACTTCAGGAGCTGAAGAAAGAGGCTCTGGTGCACTTCAAAAAGTGGCAAACGGCCGTCCACCGGAGGGTCGGCGAGATTTCGGTCAAGAAAGGTCCGGATTTCCAGAGCAGCCCTGCATCTGCTGGCTCTAAAAAGCGCCCCGCCTCTAACAAGAGAGGCAAAGCAGCCGGTAGGATCTGAGCGACGGGACACGTCTTTCAGACTTGCTAACAGCTTGACAGTACCCAAGTCTCCGGTCACGCCATCAATTAGTCTGGAACCCGACCCTGTGCTGACGCAGCTTTACCCGCCCACTGCAACCACGCTCTCCTCATCGCCCGTGGAGAAGAGGTGCCTGTTACTTCACGCACTACTCCTTCTACTGCTCTCCATTGAAAACTATGGCGCTTATACCCGGGTCCTGCTCCAGAACATGGCCTCGGCTCTTCAACTGCCTCTTCGTGTCCTAGCCGAAGATGAGGTTAGAGTGTGTGATGCCTTGGCCCAGATCGCCAAGGGTATCCCGCCTGAGTTTCTGGTCCCGAAGAAAAGTGAGGATGGCAAGCCCATTAGACGATGGAAGGCTGGGTTGGCGGGTACCCTTGCCGGTGCCATCCCTGGGGCTGGTGGTCTCTCGGCAGCGCTCGAAGCAGCGCGTATTGGGTCCGTTTTTGGGATTTCCGGGATCCCATGCGCGGCCGCAGCAGGTCTTCTTGGTATTATGGGCGAAAATAGCCTAGCTGTGGGCGCGTTGTTCGGCATGTATGGCAGCCGGAACACCGGAAAGATGATGGAGCACTACCTCAAGGATGTCGGCGACTTCGCCTTCCTGCCGCTTCGGGGCTCGCCCAGCCAGCGTTTGGAGATGGGCAAGATCGACCCGGAGAGCCGTCGGCTCCGAGTTGTCTTGGGCATCAGCGGGTGGATGATGAACAGGGATGACGCCGTCAGTCCCTGGCAATGCCTGGGGGAGCAGAGCGAGGTGTATGCCATTCGATGGGAGCTTGACGCGTTATGCAAGCTGGGCGCGTCGTTCGATACGCTTGTACGGAGCGCTGCGTGGTCCGTGGCCAAGAAGGAGATCGTTGCTCGGACCAGTGAGCACCGTTCCAGGCCCCCCAATCGCTCTGCAATGGTGGCTAACCCGCAGGGGCCAGTTTTCTCCAACCTGGCCGACGGTCGATGGCCCGCCAGCCTCCTCAAAATTAGCAAGATCATTGATAACAACTGGAATAACGGCATGGTTCGCGCCGACAAACTCGGATCCACCCTAGCCGACGTTATCATAAGCAAGGCCCAAGGTGAGCGTGGTGTTTCGCTGATCGGCTACAGTTTAGGGGCCCGAGCCATCTATGCCTGCTTGATGTGTCTGGCCGAGAAGCGTGCTTTCGGGCTCGTCGAAAACGCCATCCTGATCGGGACTCCCGCGCCTTCTGACCCTATGGCGTGGTGTGCCATGAAGAGCGTGGTATCGGGCCGCCTAGTCAACGTGTACTCAGAGAATGACTACATACTGGGATTCCTTTACAGGACCAGCAGCATCGAGTTCGGGCTCGCCGGGTTGCAGCGCGTCACCGGGGTTGACGGAATCGAGAACGTGGATGTTACTGCTAAGGTCAGTATCCACCCGAGATACCAATACCTCGTGGGCAGTATCCTGCGGCACATCGGCTGGGAAGACACGGACACGACACAGATCACCCGGAACGAGGCCGAGATGTCGTTTTATGAGGACCGTAACCGCAAGCACGAGGAGCGGCGGGACGCGGTCGAGCTGGGCAAGGTGGAGGCCAAGAAAGAAAACGAGCAGGGGATTATCCGGACCAGGATGCGCAAGAAGAATAAGAAATGAACTGCTTGGTGGGTCAGGCTACGATCGTCGGGGAGGCTCGGAAGTATGATTTGGAGAGGCCGTCTTTGGCGGGAGAGGTGGACGGCGTCATGTTGTCTATTTTAGTGTATTAGCACCCGGCGTTTTAGCCTAGTTGGCGTTATCTGAGAAGACAAACCGCATAGCAATCAGCATGGTAGTAGGTAGCTTGGCTGTCTGCAGTTCCAGTTGTTGGATGTGTGCCCTCCGCCAAGTCCCTCCCCTTCAACCCGGATTTCAGGAAGCAACTGGCCCATCACAACCTGTCTCGTCCTCGCCCATTCTTTCCAGGAAACTCAATATCACTCCTCCCCTTTCACCATCCTCCCCTCCGCATCCGCGTCCCCAACAACACCATCACCCTTCCCGCTCCTTACAACAAAATACCTCCCCACCCTCTCCCCCGCTCCCCCGAGCACATCCCAATCCTCCACCCCTTCTATCCCACCACCACCACCACCACCATCCCCCCCTTCCCTCTTCTTCTCCTGACCCTCCCTCCTCCTCCTCGGCCGTTGACACCGCCCCCGCACCTCCTCCGCCCGCAGCGCCGCCGCCACCCCCGCCGTCCCCAGCCCGATTGTCGCCTCGCGCCGGCCAGCCGCCGTCTCGTCGCGGATCGCGGAGAGCGGCGGGACCCCGTCGGTGGGGACCCGCTGGATGTCGCGCACGAAATGCAGTTGGGCGTGCAGGGTGGTGAGGATGGAGGTGGTTTGGGAGGGGGTGGGCGGGTGCGGGAGGGCGGAGAGGTTGAGGAGGTGGGTGAGTTGGGTGGGGGTTATGGGGTCTTGTTGGGGGGGTTTGTGGGGTGGTTTTCAATGGCGGTTGGTGGTGGTGGTGGTGGTGCTGGAGGAAGATTGGGGGGAGGAGGTCCGGCCGGATTGGAACCACAGGTGGGTTTGGAGAGTTAGTGCGTTGAGGGTCGTGTTGTCGTGGTGATTGTAAGTCGTTGTGGTTGTGGGTTGTGGTCGGCCGGGGTGGTGGTGGTGGAGGTTTGGCGGGTTTGGTCGGTCTGGTTGAGACCGGGCCGGCCCTCATTGAGGCGGGAGAGGGGGAGGCGGCCGGGCTGGCCATGTTGGTGGCCTGGTTGTCGGGTTGTTTGGGTGGTGGTTTGAGGCTGGCATGAGACGAGGCCGAATGAAGCTGGGGTTGATGTCGAATTCGTGAAATTCCCGTTATTTGTTCTTGAGTGATCAATTGAAAACAGCTAGCCCTTGTTCTAGGGGGCGCTAAGCTAAAAGGGGGAATCCTTAAAATTCGTAACAGCTTGGCGTCATAGCTTGCGGTGCAGCCATGAAGACTGTGTTGGCCCACCTGCCCCGCCTTACCCAAAGCCCCCAAACCAGCCCTGTATAAGACTGCAACGCGACACCACCCGATCCCATAGCCTCGCTCTCGATTTCCGTTCATCTCGAAACCTCCCCCCAATACCATCGAAACGACACCATGGCTCTCGACCCACGCGCGCTTGAGGATAAGGTGCCGCCCTCCCTCCCCAACCCCGCCATCCCCCTCGCGCCGCAGCATGACGAGTTGTCAACCTGGGTTTATCCCCTGAACCACAGGGGCGGGGGTTATGGGGTGGTTTGGGTGGTGGTGGTGGTGGTGGTGGTGGTGCTGGGGGAAGATGGGGGGAGGAGGCCGCGGATGGACCAGGTGGGTTTGGAGAGTAGTGCGTGAGGGTCGTGTTGTTGTGGTGATTGTTGTTGTTGTGGTTGTGGTTGTGGTCGGCCGGGTGGTGTGGTGGAGGTTTGGCGGGTTTGGTGGGTCTGGTTGAGACCGGGCCGCCTGATGAGGCGGGAGAGGGGGAGGCGCGGGCTGGCCATGTTGGTGGCCTGGTTGTCGGGTTGTTGGGTGTGGTTTGAGGCTGGGATGAGACGAGCTGAATGAAGCTGGGGTTGATGTTGAATTGGAAATTCGTTATTTGTTCTTGAGTGATCAATTGAAAACAGCTAGCTTGTTCTAGGGGGCGAAAAGCTAAAAGGGGGAATCCTTAAATTCGTAACAGCTGGCGTCATAGCTTGCGGTGCAGCCATGAGACTGTGTTGGCCCACTGCCCCGCCTTACCCAAAGCCCCCAACCAGCCCTGTATAAGACTGCAACGCGACACCACCCGATCATAGCCTCGCTCTCGATTTCCGTTCATCTCGAAACCTCCCCCCAATACCATCGAAACGACACCATGGCTCTCGACCCACGCGCGCTTGAGGATAAGGTGCCCCTCCTCCCCAACCCCGCCATCCCCCTCGCGCCGCTGCTAACGGTTAGCTACACAGGCGAAGAAGGCCCTCCAGGGCGCGTCCGGAGGGTTCAGCTTCTTCAGCAACAAAGAAGAAAAATACCAAAATGCCGCCGATCTCTACGTCCAGGCAGCCAACGCCTACCGGCTGGAGCGGATGAGTGCGTCGCTTGCGCCTAGCCAATCCCCTACCCGGCATGCGCTGACCGTAGATAGACAAGGAGGCGGGATCGTGTTTTGAGGCGGCGGCGGGTATTCACAGGGACAAGCTGAACGAGCCGGACGATGCGGCGAACCAGATGGTGGACGCATTCAAGGTCTACCGGAAAGAATACCCCCAGGACGCCATCCGCTGCATCCAGGTGGCCATCAGCCGGTACCAGGCGAAGGGCAACTTCCGGCGAGCGGCATCGCATCTAGAAAATGCCGCCGAGCTGCTTGATGAGGTCGGCGACCGCAAGGGCGCCATCCCGCTCTATACCGAAGCGGGGCGCCACTACGAGGACGACGGGGCAAAGGCGTGAGTGGTTATGTGTTAGTTTAGCCTCTATGCTTTGTTGCTAACGCTGTTGGGTAGCCTGGCGAACAAGAACTGGCTCAAGGTGGCCGATATGGCTGGACTTGAGGGCGATTACTTCCAGGCCGTGGAACTTTACGAGAAGGTAGCCGACTCATCACTCGACAACCACCTGATGAAATACTCGGTCAAGGACTACTGGATGAAGGCAGGGATCTGCATCCTCGCAACCAAGGACCTCGTCAGTTCTCGCCGTAACCTGGAGAGGTACGTAGAGAAGGATCCGTCGTTTGCGACCCAACGGGAGTACCAGCTGCTCTCGGACCTGATCGAAGCCATCGACGCCGGGGACCAGGAGGTGTTCACCGACAAGCTATACCAATACAACCAGATGAGCCCACTGGACAAATGGAAGACGGAGATCTTCCTCAGGATCAAGAACCAGATCGAGGATGCGGACAACGAATTTGCTTGAGATACTGCCTGGATAATTTTGGCGTTTGGGGTTAGAGCGCATAATTGATGGAAAGATTCGACGACTGTGGGATAGAGGAAGTAGGTGGCTAACTCGGCCAATGGAACAAACCAAGGTCCCGGCCAGCCTACACCATACCATGTCAATCGCTGCACTGCAAATGTACCAGTTTACGTACCTTTTAAAAGGACTTAGACTGTAAACGGCCGCCGCGATCCATTCCAATCTTGCTATCGAGGAACACACCTCATTTACGTTGTCTAACACTGGGGGTGGGGGCTGGTTACAACGCAGCGCCAACACAGCAAACGGAGAGCCATTGCCGAGGCAGTAAGTAGTGTAGTACGTTATAACTAGCCCTGACGAGTCGTACACATTTACACACTCCCGCATCCTCCACCTTGTTGGCTGTGGACGGGGATGTGTGTTCAAGGTTAATCTCATGAACTCTCCCTCTGCTAACCCTGAACTTTGGCCGTCCGTCAACCCTTATCAGACCCTGCATTGAGGTGGGGTTGGCCCCGATAAGCGATAACACCCAACTTTTTGTTTCTGCCTCTGAAATTTCTCGATTTCCAGACCGAGAGGTGCTTCGTCTTGCACACCGGACCTCAGATACAGACTGCCAAGATGGCTTCTCCTTCATTGAAAGAGAAGCTGGACAAGATCCGGTCTCCAAATCTGCAGAGCCAAAAGCAGGTGGGTTTTATGATTCTTTACTTTTTTTACTCGACGTTCTTCTTTTCGAAGGCGAGTACTGACTTAATTGTGTTGCAGACTGCTAGTATTCTCGAGGGTGTCGAGTCTGCCCTCAAGGAGCGCAACACCGAGCCCACCCCTACCGCCTACTTTGCCGCACTGCTCAGCCTCCTCGACAACAAGGCACTCGCACATCCCGTCGTCTATCTTCTCGACGTCATCACACCCTTCGCCCCCGAACCCCTCCTCCGAGCCAAATTCACCCAGATCCTCACCTTGCTAGCGCCAGTACTGTCCCAGCCCGACGCCGATGCGCCCCTGACTAGATCGTCAATTGGTTGCCTGGAGCACTTGTTGCTGGCCCAGGATGCGGCAGCATGGGAGATGAGCGCCGCCGTGATCGGCCCCCGCCGCGCCGTGGGCGGCTTGCTGAGCTTTTCCTTGGACCCCCGCCCGAAGGTGCGCAAGAGGGCGCAGGAAGCCCTGAGGAATATCCTCAAGAGCCCCCCGCCGAGCCCCTCTCTCGATCATCCCGCCGCCGCCATGTGCGCCGAGACTGCCATCATGAGCCTGAACGCCGTGGCAGAGAAGGCCGCCCAGCTGAGGAAGGAGAAGAAGGGTTCCGAGGCCGTGCACGACCCCGAGCTTATCCACGCGCTGCAGCTAGTCAAGACCGTTGCGTCTGCCAGCGGCGGATGGCCGAGCAAGAAGATTGAGTCGCTATGTGAGCTGCTCCTAGGAATCGCCCGGTCCGGAAACGAGCATATGAGCATGTCGGTGTTCGACATTTTCGAGATGATCTTTGAGGGCATGGCGGACGACGTTGCGTCGGCCAAGCTTCCGAGGCTACTCGAGATCATCAAGGAGCTGCGCCCGGCTGCCAACGATACCCAGCTACTCCCGCCGTGGATCGCGATTGTATCCAGAGCCTACGATGTTTCGGCGCAGATTTCGCCCGAGGAGACTTTCCAAGAACTGCTGGAGCCGTTCAACATGGTGGCGGGGTACCTCGAGTCCGAGGCCAAGAACATCCGGATCTCGGCTTCGGAGTGTTTGGTGTCGTTTATGGTGAATTGTGTCCCCAGGCAGGTGCTGGTGGACCCATCAATATACGACGAGAAGGTTATCCAGAAACTGGTGAACACGGTGGAAGGGCTTCTAACTGTCAAGTACCAAGCAGCGTGGCTCGAGACTTTTAACGTTATTGGTGCCATGTTTGACGCCCTGCGCTGGGCAGCGGCGCCTTATCTCCTCGCCATAACGAAGAGCATCGGTGAGATGCGCGGCAATGATTCGTTCGCCGGGAAGCAAGAGGCGGACGAAGTGATTGGGAAGGCAATTCGAGCAATGGGCCCGGAGGCAGTTCTGGGAGTCTTGCCCCTAAATCTCGCCAAGCCGGCGAGAGGTCAGCCGGGGAGGGCTTGGATGCTTCCACTCTTGCGCGACTACACATCAAACACCAACCTCGCCTACTTCAGAACCGAGTTTGTACCCTTGAGTGCGGCCATGTTCCAGCGCGTTCTGGACCACGGTGGCGCCCCCAAGACGATGGAGATCAAGATCTTTGAGACAGTTGTGCAACAAATTTGGTCCATTCTCCCAGGATTCTGCGATTTGCCGTTAGACCTTACGGAAGCATTCGACAAGGAGTTCGCCGAGATGCTGACAAGTCTGCTCTATGAACAAGTAGAGCTGCGTTTGGATGTCTGCCGTGCCCTCAAGGCGCTCGTGGAATCCAACCAAGCCGTCTCCTCAGCGACTGAGGAAGAAGACCCCGTCCTGCACAGCAGGGTAACCAAGGAGGCAGCACAGAAGAACCTCGAGTACCTGGGAACGACATTCTCCGCCGACTTCCTTGCGGTCCTCTTCAACGTCTACAGCACAACCCTGCCCCAGAAGCGGGGGCCGGTTCTGCAAACCATCAACGCCTACCTCAGCGTCATCCCGCCGGCGCGGCTAATGGAAACGTTCGACCTCGTGTGTGAGAAGCTGGCTGCTGCTCTCCAAGAACCGGTCGAGAAGCCCAAGAACCAGCAGAGCGGCGAGCAGGTGCCTTCCACCGCCCACACGCTTATGGACCTTGTCGTCACTATGTCTATCTACCTACCGCGAGAGAGCTTTGAGGCTCTATTCAAGATCGCGTCACTTGTCGTCTTCAAGGATGACGACCCACAACTTCAAAAGAAGGCCTACAAGATGATTCCGCGGCTGGCGGATTCGGAAATTGGCAAGGCCGCTCTTGAGCAAAGGCACCCCGAGCTTCAGAGCCTTATCTTGTCGAGCGCCGAGAAGGTGTCTGCGCCCGCTAGGCGAGAACGTCTTGCCGCAATTACCGCGTTGCTCCCCTTTATTCCCCACACATCACTCCATTTTATTCCTGCTGTCCTCTCCGAAGTGGTCATCAGCTGCAAGGAGAACAATGAAAAGGCTCGGACAACAGCCTTCGACCTCCTTGTTTTGATGGGCCAGATCATGGTGGCTGCGGACGGAGCATTGATCGATAACAGCAAGGTCCCGAACATGCCCAAGGATGCGCCGGCAGTCAAGGCCTCGATCGAGGAGTACTTCACCATGGTTAGCGCCGGTCTCGCGGGCAGCACGCCCCACATGATCTCAGCCTCCATCACCGCCATCACCCGCGTCCTCTACGAGTTCCGGGAGCTGCTAAGCAAGGAGACCATGTCAGACCTGGTGCAAACCATGGACCTCTTCCTGACCTCCAACAACCGCGAGATCGTCAAGAGCGTGCTGGGCTTCGTCAAGGTGTGCGTCATCAGCCTGCCGACCGAGCTCATGACCCCGCGCCTCCCGACCCTGATCCCCAACGTCATGGTCTGGAGCCACGAGCACAAGGGTCACTTCCGCTCCAAGGTCAAGCACATCCTCGAGCGCATGGTCCGCCGTTTCGGCGTCGACACGGTCAACAAGCACTGCCCAGAAGCCGACCGCAAGCTCATCACCAACATCCGCAAGACCAAGGAGCGCAGCAAGCGCAAGAAGGAAGCCGCCAAGGAGGGCGGCGGTGATGACTCGGACGGTGAGGGCAGGCGCAAGAGCCGCTTCGAGAACGAGTACGACCAGGCGCTGTACAGCAGCGAGGACGAGGATGGCGGTGGCGGCAATGAGTCGGACCACTCGGACGACTCGGACGCCGAGATGACGGGCCGCAAGCAGAACCGCCGGGGCGGCGCCGCCGCTGCGCACAGGGGCGCCAACGCCTACATCCTCGAGGACGAGGCCGAGCCCCTCGACCTACTCGACCGCAACGCCCTCGCCAACATCTCCACCACCAAGCCCGGCCGGTTGCGCAAGGACGGCACCGGCAAGCGCATGAAGGCCAAGACGGACGTCGACGGGAAGCTGATCCTCGGCGGGGATGATGACGGCGCGATGGATATCGACACCCCCGCTGCTGCCGGCGCGGCTGGTGGCGATGAGGAGGAGAGCGGCGTGGGCGCGTATGTGGCTGCGCTGCGGGGCAAGGATGCGCCGCGCCGGGGCCAGCGCGGGAAGTTGAAGTGGAGCCGCGGGAGGAAGGGCGATGATGATGACGACAGCGATGATGGCGGCGGTATGGATGTTGATGAGGGTGCGGCTGCGAAGGCGTTCAGGGATAATAAGCGCGGGAATGACCGTAGGAGAGGTGGTGGTGGTGATGGAAGGGGGAGAGGCGGTGGTGGTGGGTTTGGGAGAGGGAGGGGTGGTGGGAGGGGAGGCGGACGCGGTGGGAAGGGGGGGATTGCGGCTGCTTCTGGGCGGAAGGGGGTTGGGCCAGGAGAGACAGAGGGGGCCTGCTACGCAGGGGAGTCGGGTTAATAAGGGTGGGAGCAGGCGATCATAAGTTGGGGGTTTTGTTTGGAGGGCTGTGGTTGGTTTTATGTTTTATTCCGTGGTGTTGAGGTCGGGTAAAATGTTTATGATTGATCTAGGGCTTGAAATTGTTTGATCATGTTCTTGGGTGGGTGAGCTTGCACGTGAGCGTTCGAAAGCAGGTGCTCAGTGAGACGGAATGGGTTCATGTCTGAACCGACTGCTATGGCTTCCCCCTGGGCGAACGAAGTGCTTGTAGGCTCCAATTCTCGACCGACAAAATGTCTATTTTTCAACGGCGGGGTTTATCGGGAGTTACAACGAAGCTCGATCTAGAGAGAGGCGGTTTGCTCAAATCTCACTGGTTGGGCTTGTCATCTTTGCGCGCGCCTCGGCTGGTGTCCACTCATTGAGTCTGGACGTGTCTCTCATGCACCCCCTATTGGACGAGAAAGAGGAGTGAGACATGGCGCCTCAACGACACAAGACTCGCTGCCTTTCATACTTAATTCCCACATCAACCAGGAAGTACGGGTGAGACACGGGGTTCAACGCCCACTCGGCCTTGATGAAGGAACCGCGCGGGTTCATGGCTTCTTTCTAGGCCTCTGTCTTAAGACTCCCGGCAAATGAAGAAGATATCGTTGCAAGCGCGCACTGCTCCCGCTCCACGTCACCAGCCTGACAAGCGCCTAACTTCGCCTAATGTACAAAATAATTGTTTATAAAAGGGGCACACGACATGTCCTAAACCACCACTTGCCTCGGCATCATCTTGAACAAACCCACCTTGATCTAGACTAGCACGCAACAACACCCACAAACACCATGGCGCTCACCCCCTTCATCCAAGACGGCCACATGGTCTTCTACTCGGACCTAATCCTCGCCCTAACCATCCACGACGTCCCCAGCGCCGCCTTCCCCAGCCTCCTCTCAGCCAACCAATCCCGCCTACACACCGACCCCGCCCTCACCGACTGGACACCACCGGGCCACCGCTACAGCCACCACCCCCGAACCCCCGGCAAGCCGACACCCACACCATCCCCGCCCGGAGGCACCTTCTTGCTCTCCTTCCCGCGCCCGCCCAAGGACCCGCGCGGCAGCGCCTTCGTGCTGGGGCGCGACCCGGACGCCTGCGACATCGTGCTCGACTCGCCCTTCGTCAGCGCCCAGCACGTGCGCTTCGGCTTTGCGCACGGCTCGGGCATCGTCATCCAGGATATCTCGGAAAACGGCACGGGCTTGGTCGAGGACGGCCGTGACGTGCTCTGGAGTCCCCCCCGGGTCGGTGGGGGTGGTGGTGGTGGGCGACAGTTGACTCCTCCGCGGTCTCCCGAGCCCAAGACGGAGATGCTCCTCCCTGGCGCCATCTACGATCTCCAGGTGCCGGGCTTCCATTTGCAGTTTCATGTTCCCTCGCGCCACGGGCATGAGGAGGCTGTGTATGAGAAGAAGCGGCGTGCGTTTATTGATGCTCGGGGTATTACGGCCGACTGGTCCTGGGAGAGATCCTAGTGGGTTTCCTCGGCAGTCGCGGATCCGCGGGCGGGCTCGCAGGTAGACGTGGAAAGGGGGGGCGGGGGCGGGGGAGCGGGTTCGGAAAAGGGGGAAAGGGAGACCAGGTCGAGAAAGACATTTTCGACGTAT